GGATCATTGGAAATTTAATACTCCCTCACCTCTTCAAAGGTAAAGATGTAGTTATGTTTTAGTTTACATCTATTGAGAAATTGCTGGCAAAGAGGGTTAAGATGTTGCTTGTTAATAAGTTAACGGCTACCAGGAGGTTCAGCTAAAATTAATATGACATGTTAAAGAAAGTCCATGAGTTCTAAATACATCTGTCTTTGTAGTGTACCTTAGTTTTAAAACGTAGTTCTTGTATCAGTCTGAATAGCATGCACCACCCCAAACAAACTGGGAGTGAAAAAGTCTAGTCTGTGTAACTGTTAATAACAACAATAACAATAATAATAATGCATATGCTTAACATTACATTCAGACAGTATTCTGCAACATAAAACATCTCAGTTATAACATATCCTTTTTTAAACATACTCTAAAAATCAAACATTTGAGCAGTGTGTGAAAGCATCTCTGGACTGCCTTATCCTTTTAAGTAGAAAACTACACAGAGAAACCATGACAATCTATATCATAATAATCCATCTCAGCCTGCCTAGATTTAGTTGGGATGAGCTGAGGTTTTTACTCACTAACAAAGGTTCTTTATTCTCCAGTGTCACAAGTTTACAGTGCAGTATAAGAGCACACTTGAGAGGAACAGAACCCATATCCATCAGTTCCACACAAGGTTGTGCCTAAAACGTTAATACTACATTGCCTCATTTTATATTCCATCAACAAAGATTCATTTGTGTATAAGGAAAAGGTAAATGGACCACTCGCCATCATCTGAATTGCTAATAACCTTTGATGAAGAAAAGATTCAGTCAGTAATGATGCAAATATCTGTCTCAGAATAATTCACCAAGCAAAATCATAAAATCAAAACTTTCATTTTTAACATATGAAAACCTAATGCATATATCCAGAAATTAACGTCTTTCTAAGTTATGAAGACTATATAAAAACCTTCTTTTCCTGTTTATTTCTTTTCTTTTGAAAAGGGTCTTTTCAAAATAAATCAAAAGGAATATTTAATAAATAGTTAAGATCAAGCTATTCTTTCTCTTCTTCAGAAGCATTTTTTAATCTTTATTCTTTTGTTACATGCTTGGCAAAAGATTTCAAAATACGCATTACTTTACCAGGAAATTAATTCAAATATTCACACCACTGACTTACCCCAGCTTAAGAATTAAATTTATCACTAAAATATGTATATGAATTATTAATTTCTTTTCCTGCCTTTATGGTTAAAGATGGTGAAGCACTGAAAAGGGGGTCTGCTATCCCTCTTGTAGCTATGATAGGACTTTCTGGTGAAAAAACAAGTGAGGTCATTAGCAAAGCCAAGAGGTCAAGGACTTGCTGCTATTCTGCCACAGGAACAGAGCTGGCAGGAATAAAGTGATGGGTATGCATCCAATCTACATGAGAACAGTATTTCCATGTCTAAAGGCAGCAAATAACAGGCTGCCATAACTTAAGATGTTTCTCTAAAGTGTACTAAGTGCTAAAACAATAACTTAGGAAGTGCCACTAAAGTTTAAAAGCCTCACTAGCCTTATTTGCCTGTGTATTGACAGCTTGCATCTATCTTGGACATATATTGCTCAAATCAACTTAATGAGAAATTTTACTATTGACAACCGAATTGTTTGGACAGATCTTCAATACTTACAGCAATTCATTATTATTTCTAACTATTTTTTCTGTAAGTAATCCATACATTTCTCTCAGTATGGAGTGATTTTTTAAAAAAATTATTTTTAGTTAATTAAATTTTAACTTTGTCTTTTACATAATGCTGCACTTGTGCACTATGATCTCAAGACAAAATTTGCTGAAAATGCATTTCTAATGAAATTAAAACACAAGCATTTTTAAATATTCCACTAAACAGAAAATTGTTTTATATGGAGAAACCCTTTGTGAAACAAAGATTAAAGTTCTGATTTCAGAAAAAAATATCATCCATTCATGTTGAAATATCTAAACAAAGACAGGGAGGAAAGTTATTTAAGAAAATACACATAACACAAGAGTCCCCACAGAGTCAGGACTACAGTTAAGGGATATAAAGCCAGACTGAAAGCTTGGATTTAAATTTTCTTTAAATCTGAGGAAAGGTGCGCCTAATCATACTTGGATAAAGATTTCCTCTTTAAAGATGAAAGACCTTTTTCAAATTGAACTACTAAAAAATCTAGCATTCTGGGAAGGAGTGCTCAGCTAGATCCATCCCAACTCTGCAGCTCAGGTTTCAGCTCTGCTAAACAGAAAATAAGCAAAGAAACAAATACAAAAATACAAGTAAAATACATTGTGTTTGTCCCTGATTTCTGTGGTTTTGCAAGCATGGAAGTTTCAACTTCTGAAATGAGAAAGCATCACAAAATAAGCGTGTGCGCTAGTAAACTTCACAGTTTGCTTCCAAAACATCTTGTAACACACTACAAATTGTTCACAATGATATTACAGCTACCAGTAGGGTATTTTTTTTTATATTACTATGTATATTAAAACACTTATTTCATATATAGAAATGTGCATGTAAAATATACATCTTTCTATTTTATTGATAACCAAATTCAATACAAGCTAATGCTTGTCTTTGTGTTGACTAAAGTGATTTGGATGAAGCCATACATATACCACAGATTTTCCTGTCACCCCCAACACAGAATTCTTTACTATTGCTCTCTGAAACTTTCAGCAGACCAGTTTCTGATATTTCTGACAATGTCCCCTTTTATAGAGAAATAAATTAGAAGGTTTTTCATACCTTTGGTTGGAGATTTGGATGAAGTAGCACATACCCATTAGGATCAATTGCAAAATAGTATCCATTTGGACAAAGCTGAAAAAAACGAAGTTTGGCATTATGAGGCTTTAAGTAATTAAGAAAGATTAATTAATGGTTTTCAAGCAACGGTCACATTGAGGAAAATTGCCTCAGGCATCATGAAATATGTGAGATATTAACATAGAGAAGATCAGTTCTTAATATTTGCTCTTTCAGAATCAGAAACTTGGAGAATGATTTAGAGAATGGGACCTCTGAAGGTCAGCCGGTACAACCCTTCACTGAAAGATAAGTTAACTTCAAAATAAGATTAAACTTCAAAATAAGATCCATCTTCAAACTTGGACTAGGTTTCAAAGGGTCTTTGAATACCTTCAATGGCAATTGCACCACCTCTCTGGGCAACCTGCTCCAGTGTTTAATCACCCTCATAACAATTTTTTTTTTCCTTATGTCCAGTTGGAACTTCCATTGCCACAACTATGTTGATTGCCTCTTGTCTTTTGCTATAAGCCTTCGAGAAAAGTTGAGGTCCATCTTCTCTGTAACTCCCATTAGGTAACTCATTAGGATCCCTCTTCAGTCTGAACAAACCCATCTCTCTCAGCTTCTCCTCATATACCAGGTACTCTAGCCCCTTGGTCAACTTACTGGCCCTGCACTGGGCTCTGCCCAGCACCTCAGTGTATTTCTTATACTGAGGAGATCAAACCTGGACACAGTACTCCTGATGCAGGTGTTCACTGCACAGCTGGCCTGCTTTACTGCAAGGACACACTGGTAACTTATGTTCAGCTTGTCCTCCACCATGACCCCCAGGCTCTTTTCTGCCTTTTGAGGCAGTCTGTCACAGCCTGTACTGTGGCGTGGGATTATTCCATTCTAGATGCAGGACTTGGCATTTGCCTTCAGTCAAGTTCGTGATGTTCCTTTGCTTCCTCAGCTGTTGTTTTCCACAATACTAGTTATTTTCTGAGAAATTCCCAGCTAGATGTCTAAATATATAAATCAGTCATACTGAGTAGGGTACAGACAAACATGTATAATAAAGAACTTTTCTATCAAGAACTGTCCTATATAAATGCTAAGTATTATCATTAGCTGATATGATTGTGTACTCTACACTGTGATAAGAACCAAACACTCAACTAAAGAGCAGTGCTTTAAGCTACAGGAAAATCATTATTTGGAACAATTTCCCCAATGTAAAAGCTGGCTTTTAGAGATCCATCCTGATGGACAATTCACACAGAAACACATATATGGCTGGAGAGAAAACTGTCAGAAAATCTACAACAATGGAAAAGAATATATGAAAAGAAGCCTGCTGGTATTTTGACTCGCATCCAGTCATCACTGTATGACTTATGAAAGACCACGCACAGAAATCATACATAAATCATACACAAAGAGAAACCACCAACGCAAGCAACTTACCGTAAATCGGGGTGTCAGTTTTTTTATGTCCTCCAAAGAGACATCAACCCCCATTACTCCAAGAATCAGCTGATTCTGGTAAGATTCCAAAATGTTAGAATATGTTTGACACACTTACAATGCAGAATAACTGCACCACTCAGTGAATATTGATTTTGCCTTCATCTCTTGCTTGACAGATACTATTTGGAAAGTTCCTAATTTACTTCGGTGTCTATTCTAAATATTTTGAATAATATCCAAACAATTCAAAATAACTTTCAATACATTCAGAATTTAGTACAGAATATGAAAATTGTTGATGAAGATGATATGGATGCTATCCTGGATGAACAAACAATAAATGTAAGAACAAAACAGGTGAAAGTAGAAGTGATGCATTAGTATTGCCAATGATGTAGATACTAAATTACTATCACCAACATAGAGCTACTATTGCAAGCTTGGGTTGGGAAACTGATAAGTGAGACCCCAAAACAATTAACCTCTTTTGGATGTGGTGTAATAATGAATGAAAAAAAAACACAACAAAACAAAAAAACCCCACTAGTGACTATAAGAGTCATCAGCATTTGAAATCAGGGACTCAGTCACTACATTTACTTCACTTGTAATTTATTTTCCTCCTAAAGAAAAGGAGGGCAGTCATTTACATGGTGTCACCTGAATCCCACCTCCTTATTAAATAAATTTGGAATATGTATTGAAAGATGCATCTTGCCATCTGTAAACTAAAATTCAGGTAGAGACATAAATCGAGCAGATTCAAGCTCTCCTCTTGTTCCTCTGTACTAGACCACAGCTGTTTTACTTCTTAGAAAGACATCCTTAGATAATCAGTAGTCTCTCACTTTGCAACCAGACTCAGTGAATTCCAGGCATTGTCTTGTAGATAAAACTGTGAAACTTTTGTTTGTTTGTTTCTTTTTAAAGGAAAACTAAGAGAACTATTCTGGAAGCAAATAAAAGAGATGGTAGTGATCATACTTGCATTTATTCATTCTGAGTCTACGTAATATCTGAGAAATCATATCAAAGAATACCTTCTTTAAACTTCTGTACATTTTGACCTGAATGAACATGAGTATCACACCATGTACAGTATTTTACCACACACTGTAAAGCATATTCTAGGTCTGATTTTAAAAAAGCAGCATTTTGATTTCATGAAGAGGACATAAATTGATTCCATATCAGACAGTAATAAGGATGGACAATTGTATTTATTTAATACTTAGATTTTAATCTAAGTACATAGTGCTATTTTCTGTTATCATTACAACCAATTAATTTAAATTCCCTACATCATTGCCTTTTATCCTGAAATGCCATAGCTTCACAGACTTGTTATAAATTCATCTAGACATTCCTTTCTTGACAAGGCCTAAATAATATAATCATCTACTTCCCATCTATTGAGCACTTAACCCATTTCCAGTGCCACCAGGTCACAGAGACAGATCAAGGAATGTCATACCCTGAAACTCGGAACTACAAAAAGGGTGATTTGCATTTTCTGGTTCCCAGGAGGTTATCAGGTAACTAGAGATGACACCTTTGTTTCTGATGTACAAGACAAACTGTAGAAAGCTCTATGGAAATACACATTTTTCAAGGAGTTTAACATGAAAGTTAATTCAAATAACTGATTTTTTTTTTTTTTAAGTAACTGCTTACTATTTTCCCATTTTGTTCCTTTGTTAGATTGAAGACAGGTAGAGTTCCTGTAATCACAAGGCCCAGCTCCTAGGAAATAACCACATACAGAGGGGAGAAAAATACTTTTTAGTTAAATAACAAATTTTGAACTATAATATATTAGAACAATCCAGGGATTACTGTAGCCAAACTAGATTACAGTACTGACTTTTAGTTTGTAAAAAAAAAAGGAAAATAATAATACTTCATTGATTTTTATGCCTGGAAACTTAAAATTACAATTTTTTGTGTCCATGTGTTAGTGAGAATAACTTTTTAAAAATAGATGGTGTGCAACATCTTACTATATAATAGTTTAAAAAAGCCCTAAATGATATGAAAACATGTTTACAGCTACAGTACCCATTATACTAAAAATCACAGAGAGTAGGGGGGAATGTAAGAAAAAAAAAAAAAAAGACAAAAGAAAAAAAGGAGGAAGCCAAATCAAACTTAAGATAGTAATTAGGCAGGCAACAAATACATACAGGCAAAATCAACAGAAAAATCCAGCAGGTAATACTACTACTACTTTTCATATCATCACTACTTTTCAATGGTTTGCAATCATGTCATCATCAGTTCTGCAAGATTACACAGTCTCTTCTGGTACTGAGGCAAGGAATTTGCAGTCATTTGGGAAAATTTGTTTTTCCTTTATTAACAGTCACAACTCACACTTAAAATAGGATCCAAAAAACCATAAGTTTAGATATCCAGAAAAGTTTTGTTTTCCATTCTAAATTGTACACAGGGAGATTTCTACCTTTTTTTAAGCTAATCCTTTTATTTCAATTTTTTTTTCCTCTCACCGGTGCTTAATCTTTCCATGTATTTTATTGAGGAACCATATAACTTTCTCCTTTTGTTTCATTAAAAAAAAAAAAAGTGCTAAAATACTTTACTAATCCACTCTGATGAAATCAGTTCTCCATTTGCCCAGTCTAGTAGCATCTTTTTGAATTTTAAATAATCCTTCATGATCTTAAGTTTGTGTATCAAATGAAAGGTGATGAGAATAGAGTTAGTAATGTTACAAGCAAGGTGAAGGGAAGGAGAAGTGGACTTTTCAGGAGAATAACAGAAGCAGGAAATGGAGATTAATCAGAAGAAAAGAGAGAGGAGTGTATTTTTTAGAAGGAACAGTAAGAGACAGAGAAAGAAACAGGAGGGGTACGTATGGGGCTAACACCGTCTCTCCCAAAAAATGTACAGTTAGAGAACACAATAATTGTGAATATATTATGACTAACTGGTAAACCTAAAAGTAACTGAAAATTCTGGGATTATTTTGCAGAAAGTGAGGCCAGAGCAACACTAACTGAACCTAAAGGAACAGGGCAAGAAAGGAGGTGTGAATTGCCACAAATACATCAAATTATTAAAGACAGTCTTGAAAGACAGCCTCAAATGAAAGTACCTTTTTAGGATTTCACAACCTGAACTTAAGCTCAAATGCGGTCTCAGGTAACACAGTTTGCATTATTTTAGCCTTAGCCCTGAAAGAACTGCTAAAGAGTAAGAGAAAAAGGATAGCAAAAGGGCCGGTAAGGCAGAACCAGGAGAAAGGTAAGCCCTACTGGAGGGAATTGCTTTAGGGAACTTAAGATAAAAGAAGCAGTCCCAGTCCCTGATAAAACCAAGAATCAGGCTCCAGAGTGGATCAGATATACCTGTGCATTTATGCTCTTACCTGTGATGAGAAAGTCCACAAATTTCAGCCTTTGTTTAGCTTGGGTTTCCCACTTTTTATAAATACGTATGCACACACACACATATATATATATATATAATTACATATACACAAACACACATATATAACACATGAACGGAGAAGAGCTTGAAGGAAAGACTGAATGAACTCACTAAAAACATAAAGTAACACAACAGAAGTCTGCAGGTATCACTTGTTTTACATCATTACACAGTTCTCTTTCTACCCCTAGTTACAAATTGAGCTTTGGATTTACAACAGGATATGTACAAAACATATGAACTTTCGTCATAACATCCTTTATGTTTCCAGTAAGTACCTCAACAGTAACCAAGAAAATATGGTGAATGAACTTCTGGCCATTGACATTCCAAAGAAAAACTAGTTCCTCTGTGTCATGTTCAGTTCTATGATGTGTTGATAAAAATTTTACAGTAATGCTGACTGACAGGAAGAAGTGGATTTTGACAGGACATTAGATGACCATGTGAACTTGGATAAATACATGATTCCAGATGACCATTTTGCAGTAATTTTTGCCTAGTTAGAGTTACTCAGAAGAAGGTTATCTAGAGCAACAGATTGGATTCCTGCTAATAATACTTCGCATTTCGTAGTTTCCTGAATATGTTTGTTTTACAAGACCAAAGTGATAAATTCAGCAGTAAGTAAAGCATTTCATGTCTCTTTTTGTTTATTTCCCAGTTATATACACTGTCTAATTAAAGAAATCACTACCTTGAGCAAGCAAGTAATTACATCATGATAGTTTAAAGATACAAGTTCAAAATCTGTACAAACACCCAATAACATTGACAGGTTTCATTCTGCCTAGAATACTTTTGGGAAAAAAAAGAAGAAAAAGGTAAGAACTCCTCACCAGTACCATAACAGATGACCTCTACTGCAGCACAGGTACAACACTGCAGAACTATTTGCTTCTGGTTTGTTTTGTCAATTTGAGGACAATAATGACCCACACTTAAAGATCTGTGTGTAGGGTAAATTGCTTTTCACTGTTAAAGTTCAGGACGCTTAGGAGGATACTAGGTGCAAGTCATGACCAGCACGTTAGAAAGAGCTCTTCAGGAAATTGCTCTATTGCAGTGTATAGGTGCTGGAAATGCAAGAACATTATGTTTGGAATTGTAGGGAATTGAGTTCTCAGGACTGTGGAAAATGGACCTCTGTAGTCACTGATTTGCTAAGATCCCTACTTTACTAGCAATAAATACAGATCCTACCAGAGCATCCAGATAGACATTTGTCCATTGGACTTGTTTGGCTTTCTCTCCAGCTAAAACCATTGGTCTTCCCAAAACATCCAGATATTCCTGCCAAAAAGTGTAATAAGCTCATCAGAAGGCAGTTATTAGATCAAAGTCCAGAAACATCATTAAAAAAAAAAAAAAGAAATAAAAACAATTAAAAGATAGTAAAAAAAAAAAAAAGTCAAAATTCACAACTAATATAGGAGTAGTATTTAATTACTTCTTTAAAATTAGACTCCCCAACAATTCGGTCTTCAGTTTGCAGTATTTACTGCTAAGGCGATTCCTGTATTTCTGTCTCAGTCACATGGACCTTAAACACTCATAACCACTGCTCTCTTTCCACAAAGTGAGAATTAAAACTAGTTTTGTTCCAAAATTAATTGCTAATGACATAACGAAATTACAAACAGATCGCAGAACCTTCAACCCAGAAGAGAGAGTGGGCGATGGAGGGTAAGTGGTGTAACAGCTGGATATGTTAAGCTCCTACAGCAACAACTTGCATAACCTCTATTGAAACAAAAATTAAAACCTCATAGTCCCTGCCTTCCTTCAGTTCGTGAGTACGGCTAAAGCTGGTGATCTTACGAGATGTCAGGCTTCTGGTCTGGTTTGGGAGTGGATGCCATCAAATGTGTTTCAGTCCTCAATCTTTCCTATTTGTCTAATAGTATTAGGGATATTTCTTGGCAAACACTATCTGGAAGAGTTTAACAGAATCAAAGGACTCTTATTCAAGCCAAAGAAAGGACTATTATTTTCTGCCAAAAAATGTCATGCCTGGCCTTGGAAGGACAAAGAGCTGCTATGATATTTCTCTGCTTTTCTGAACATGTGAATACATGGACTGGCAGACAACTGAAAAGAATATCTGTTCATCTACAGTGTCAGTTTGAATCACACCATATAATGCTAGGGTCCTGTGCCCTTAACTATCTACAGGCATGTCTGCTAAAATGTTCCTGCATCCTTTTTTGAAGGTAAAAGCCGTGTCCCCTCCAGACTGGTTGGACCAATTCAGGAACCTGTCCGATAAGCAGGATTGTACCAGATCCCTGTGTCTGCCCAGCTGAGTTCAGATACTCTAGCAGGGCTATGCCCTCACACACATCCACAGCCTTCTCCACGTAACAAAACCCTTAGGATCATGCTGTAAGTACGGCAGGAGACAGACTATGACTGTCTAGACGCGTTACAAAAAATTACTGGTTTTATAGATCTTTATTTAAAAAATTGCTGCTGTGTCTCAGGATCAAAGAGGGACCCTATAAGGCCAGGAAGAAAATTGAGCCCAAAACTGAGTCCTTGTACAGAGGTCTGCAGGATAGACATCCCTTCAAATGCTATGTTGAGTGTACACAGTCAGCCTGCTTTAGAGGATGCTAGCGTGACTGGCATGCATATAAGCTGCTGTGGGCCAGCTGGCCAGGGAAACAGGGATCACATTTTAAATTGGCTCACTGCAACGATTAAAAAGAAAAAAAAAATTAGAATATTTTACAGAATAATTCCTCATATGTAAAAAGAAAGCCTTAGTTTTTTCTCTATTCTTAATGCACTGGATCTTAAAATTTAACTGATTCAGATAGAGGTGAAATGCAACAGATTGAAGAACAGGAATTACTCCACTGTCTGTTATAACTGCATCTGGATTTGGCCAACACACTTACCTGGGTGTTTATTCTTATGGCTCCAATGGATGGAATTTCATAATAATAACCTAAAATTTGGAAGAGAAATCATGCTGTCTTAGTATAATATATTGCTAGCCTCTTAATCTTTAGTAATTTCATTTATCTTGTAATTTCTAATTTACATTTATAGAAATTATCACGCATGAATGGAATACTTTCTTAGTAGATGCCACTACAACACGTGGTCACATATGATGGGTCACCATGCCATATCGGCCAAGCTAGTTACTCTTAAGCAGCGAGAGCATATAATGTGGGGGTTTTGACTGTTGTATTTAAAGCTGAGATAATGTACTGAATTTGTGCTCCTGAATTTCCAGTTACTCTGATGTGCAAGTATATTTAATGCTCATTTTAATATGCTGTGACAGCAACATAATTATATGCCGTATGCATATAGGAATGCAAGTATAGCTACAGTCTGCCACAACAGTGAAGTTCATAATATGAAAATATAAGGCACTCTGTGGAAAGGATGAAAAAATCTATCAGGTATTTTTTCTAACTAAACATCAGAAATTACTTTATTCAGCATTGATTCCATCACTTATCTGTTCGAATTAAACAAATTGCCCATATGCACCACTAAGACTGAAGACAGTCAGATCCAGTTTCAGACCAAGTAAGTGTCAAATTGGAAGGAATCGGGGGAGGGCTGGAGAGGTAAGAGTATTGAGGTTAGTCATTTACTTTGCCATAAGCAATGTGTGACTTCATAATAAATTAAAACTTTTAATTACAGAAAAATGAAATAAAACTTTGCTTCTTTGGACGTGCAAACAAATAATCGCATCAATTTTGGACAGAAGATTATGATCATTTTGCCTTGATAATAGGATGACATAGGTGATTATGCTTCAATCCAGCTGGTCCTCATTTGTTTTAAAACACTGGAGTTCACATGCACACAGTATTTTGGAATACAAAGATGTTCATCAAAAAATCCCTGTTCAGAAAAATAAACGTTCATTTTCTGTAATTATCTGACAATACAATCTGCTCTTCATGAAGTGTAGTACCTTCTGAATAACTTGCCAGCATTCTGGGGGATTCATGAGGTTATGATACATATGCTGCTTATACAGGCTATCGATTATTCAATGTAATTTTTTTCTATATTTATATCTTTCTATTTCTTTTACCTTCGATTTATGTTATTGTGATGCTTGAGAATTGGATCTTAATCTCCTTCCCTGGCAATCTAAATTTTCAAGACCCTTTGTAATCTATCCCACTTCTCACCTCGCTTCTCACTGATTTCTAAAATACTTTCGCATTTTCAGTCAGGCCTGCAAAATGCTCTCTTTAAAATATTAAACAATGTTGTTTGAGAATTTTTCTGGTTTTTATTTATCTGTATTTACCTCTTATATATCTTGTTCCGTCATTACATTGTAAGGTATTTGAGACACCTCTTTCTCACACTTGTTTTAAATGCTTCTGACCACATTTTTCATGCAGAAATAGGAGAAAGCATTTTACTTCAACTATTTTAATTTTTACTTCAACATTTTTATTTCATCTTTACTTTCAACTTTTTACCTTTTTTTTTTTTCTACATAAAGAAATCAGGATAAAACTTTAAAAAGTAAGAAACCACAGAAAGTATAATTTTGATATTTTAATCAAAAAAGGGAAAAATAATACGAGTCGTCTGGTCTCTTGTAAGTTCTAGAGAAAAAACAGAAAAAAACCCAACCAGCCAACCACCCAAACAAAAAATCCCTTTGTCTGGACCCCCTAATATAAAGCAGCTTTGCTTAATTTCTTATCTGTCACCAGTTCCATCTTTTCATAGATGTCTATTACAACAAGAATTCTCAAAACTGAACCGTAATATCTTATATCATAAAAATACTGTGATATTTTCCTTACAATATGCAGTTTTAAATAATCAGAAATAAATAGGCAAGCTTATTTTGTATAGACATATATATTTTAATATACACATTATTTAATCAAATAAAAGTTTGGATTTATTGCATTATTCTTTATTTAATACAATAAAGCTAAAAATCAGGCTGAAATAAAATCTGTAATTTTTAGAGAATAATAAAGCCTATCCAAAGCTCTCGCAAAGAACAGTCTCAAGGAAAAACACAGTACCTTTATTTTCACAGGCCATCCACTGTATGGGTCCTTTGTCATAATTATGCTGACCGACAGAAAATGTGAACACGCGTACCTGTGCAAATTAAAAACCAATGCATATAACTTAACTATATGTCACTAATTAGCTGTGACTCTCAAGTTAATGATACTTAGATTTTTCATACATTTGAACAAAAAAAAGAAAACCATGAATTTTCCATTTTTTATCACCATGATAGATACACTGCTATTATGATATTTTATGCATTCCTATTATTTGGTTCATGAAGTAGAACTCGGGAAGAACAGTCTGTCATACATCTTCCATGCTGTAAAGCTCTTACATTTGTTACCGTCCATGAATCATTTAATTTATTTTCTTTTTCCAAGGGTAGTAATTATAAATCTTCAGGTTTTGTTAAAGTAGTTGACATAATCTCCTATCAATATCAGACGCTCATCAATTAATTAAAATGAACATATGCACGGCAGTAGAATTCAAAGCAATGTAAAACAGGATTTTTTAAGATATAAAATAATTTCAGGAAAAGTATGAAATTTTCAGATACTACAGAAAACAAATTCTTATTTTGCTCAGACTGTTGGTATTTTTCCTGCAAACCCTAAATTAGTAAACTAAATTAGTTTAACAGAGTTCCACAGAAGGGTTAAGCTTCCCATATTTCAATTTAAGCTCTTGATTTTCATTAAAGCTATGTGTGTTAGAAGCATAATTCTATTTGGTTTAGCCAATGCAACTCCAATCTATCTCAGCAACTGAGGGGAGTCATGGCTTCAGAAGAATTCACCAAGTTCTATCCACGTTTTGGACAGAAAACAGGCTTTTCAGCTGAAATTATTTTCCATGAAAATTGTCTGATTGAACGAGAAAAAATAAAAACAAACCCTGGTATTGCTGTATGCAAATCAAAAATCCTAGAGATTTTTACACAGAAAAATTACAAATTATATTTCAGTTTCTGGCTGAATATTTTGCTCCAAAGCTGAGTGTTTCTGTAAAAGGTGGGTAAAATAAATTCCCAACAGTTTTCATAAGCTGTTCACTATTATCGTGTCCCTCTGAAGGAATGTCCAAGGACCAGACTGCCTTTCATTTTCAGGTATGTCTTTTCTTATGGACTTTTAACTTTACCACTTCACTTTACACATCACAGATCACAATATGAAATCAACAGTATGAATTCCTTTCTATGGAACTTGATGATTCTGTTTAAAATTAAAACATAACACAATTAATTTGCCTGCAGGCTATAGCTGAGTAATATGCTAATGTTTTCTTCAAGTAATATTCGCGATAAAAAATTGCAGAGACTTCTTAAACTACTGAGTTTTTAAATTATTATTTATACAAATTTCATCACATTATTTAGCATGTGCAATTACTAACAAAATCTTAATTTGTCAAATAAGCAACAAAAATTGTGTGACATAATCAGAGCTTATCTATTAACTAAGAGCTGTAGGAATAGCTCCAAATCATCAATCGCCACCTAGCAAATAGTGAAACTTTATTAGTGTTGACCCCTATATGCAAGGAAGGTGAACAAAGCTTTGTGCTAGATGTCATATTTAATTAACCATATGTTTTGATTTGCTTTACCTGTACAAGCCCTTTGTTTTTGCAGTTAAAAGCAGAATTAAAGCAACTACTCTTCTGCACTGAATGCTGATTCATGTGCTCGCTTTAGTTTTTGGGATACACAAAATTTGAAGTTTTTCAATTTAACTAATAAGTCTACCCCATACAGGATCATTTCTCAGTAATGAGTCAAGCCAATTACACTTCTAGTTACACAGACAGGTATGGGACTGTATATGTGTGATGGTAAAATTTTGTTCTTATAGCTCATACTGATAAAGACAGATGAATAATGCCTTCTATTACCTTGAAAATACCAGTATTGATAGTGCAAATATGACTTCACCTGATATTTCTACATCTCATTTATTTTTTTAATACTGTATCACATTGTAAATTCAAGTTACATTTGCCATCCCCCGTTTGTTCTTGACCTCTTTTATAAAATGTCAGCTATAACTCTTCTAATGGATCTTTCTGTTTCTATTTAATTACCATCTGTTTTTTCCAAGCTGAATAACACGATGTTATTTTCTATTGGTATCTCTCAGCTCACAAGGTCCCTGCCTACAATACTCCTTTTTTTGGACTCACCACTGCTCCCAGTTTAGTATCCACTAAACACTTGATCAGAATACATTCTTCTCAAGAATTATGGTGCAATAAGAAAAACCCCACTGAAGGCCCCTAGTTAGATAGTTGAGTGACCTGATGTCTCTTTTAGATTAAAAGTAACTAATTAAGACAGAGTCATGTGGGTTTGCTTGTGTGTGTATAAAACACAAGTCAATTAGCCTGGGCTGTCTAGCATTTGATCTCAAATGTAAAAATGAAACACTGCATTGGATTCAAGTTGCGAAATAGTATGTAATTTAGGGAAAAGAAGCAGCATGTTAAATCTGCAACTAATCTATAAAGAATTTAGAATTTAAATTATTGACAACAAGCAGAGGACAATATATCTGATTTACTGTTCCTTGGATAATTAACAGAGATAAAGAACTGCATGAAAATTGGAGTTTTTAATTGTTACTTGGTTTGGCAAGAGGGTGGAACATTCAAAAGAGTTTTCTTTTTCCTTTTGCCTCATCTGGAATTGAGTAGAATGACAGACCAGCTGGAAAAATGAGTCAGCAAGTCAAATTAAAGAAGCCAATTTTAGCAAAAAAACATGCTCTCTGTTCTGTGTTAACATTTTCTGTGACAGGACCCAGAGTTGGCCAAAGGATTGAGACGCATCTGTCTATACCTTTTCCTTATAGATATCTCTTCAAAGAAGACAACAGGCTTTTAAACTAAAAGACAGATTTAATTACTTTTAATAGGGAATTTATGAGAACACTTGGAGCAACTTAGATCAGACACAATGGATATGAGCACCTCTCACTTTGCTTCTCCTTCCTTTTAAGTTTAGTTTCAACCAAATGGATTTCTGAGTTGAAGCAAACTGCCAAGTACTCTCTGATCCCAACAAATTGTTTTCCAGCATCACCAAGGCCTGATTATTTCTTCTCTGTGCTTCTCTGCAGCGTCTTAAGTTCTGTGTAAACTACAGGTTCCCCAGTCCTCTTACTATTACTCCTGCTCTCCACCATCCACACCAGCAGATGGACATTTCTGTTCCCCAAACTGTTTCCCAGGCAAAGTGCAACCTTGCCTCCACACAGGGGAGATCCATTTACTCTCTTCATAAAGAAACATAACTTTCAATCAATAAAAACCAGTGGAACAATCATAAAAACAAACAGGAGCTGTCACACTTTCTGATTTTCAATGGGACTATTCAAAGTAAAGTATTTCTAGAAAACTCCTACCCTTACAATGGAGAAAAGTGAGAGATGGGCACCAGCCTGCTCTGCCAGCCCACTCAGATGCAGTCTTGAAACTGTTCTGAAATACAAAAGTCCTAATTTCTACCACCAAGAGTTCAAGTCCAGAGCTGTGTTAGTTCTGTCAGGAATATATCATGTACCGGTAATGGGGAGGTAATTCTCTGTATTTTTCTCACTTTGGAACTAATCTTAGGGAGAAAACACAAAATATTTTATTTTTTCTATTATTTGTTTACAATATATAGTAGAGCAATACACTTATTAACAAACAAAACAAGTGCAGAATTAATGTAAGGACAGTCAGACAGTGCCCAGAGAGGCTGTAAAGTCTGCCTCCTTTGAGGTATTAAAGACCAGGCTAGATAAAGCCCTGAGCAATCTGGCTTGATCTTATTCCTGACATTAGACTAGAGACCTCCTCAGGTCCTTTGCAACCTGACTTATCCTCGGATCCTATGAAGGACATCAAAGGATAACAAGCAAAAATCCAACTCCTAATCAGAAGAAGTGACAGACAAAAAACAAAGCTACAGAAAATAGAGGAAGAAGTACTGTATTGAAGAAAATACAACTGCCTAATTACAGAATATATTTGCTCTTTATTTTATATATCTCTCTACCAGAAAAAGTTAATAAAAACCCAAGGTGAATAGAAGGCTTCTGACTGCTGCAGATATTAAGGGACAATGGCACTCAGGAGAGTTGTGACGAAGACAGATGTAACGAGCTACTCAGGAACAGGCTGCTTTCCCTAAAGATCTCAGTTGCTTTTTACCTTAGTTCTTCATTTTGCTACTAGAATAATATTAAGAATTAAATTAGACTCTTCCTTTGGGGAAGTCATGTTATGAGTATTACAGAAAATTAACAGCTTGAGCGAAGTTAATTCCAAGTAGTAACTAAGCACAAAATCACACTTGCCGTTTAAACCACTGCATATTTGTGTAGGCAGTAAGTGTAGGCCTACAAGAGTTTGAGAACTGCAACCACTCTGCAAAGCAGTTCAGAGTAGATGAACATGTGGGTTTTTTTACAGAAAAATTATCTGTCTTGAATTCTGAGCTGATGCGACGAGAGAGGTCTCAATAACCATTTATATGCATCTCTTCATTTCTCTTTTTACTATTACTGTTACTCTGTTAACTGACCTTTGGAGATATATATTTCTCTTTATCAGATATCAGGAGAGCTACACGATCAATTTACTCAACTAGATGTAGGCAAGATGAATCCCATCATTTTATGTCTATAATGTAAAAATAGCAAAAGTGCATCTTTCTCTGCCACAAACTGACTGAGTCAAAAACTGATCTCATCAAATCATGCAACTTCACTTTTCATGTTGACAATATGATTTAAGAATATTTTAATCTGGCCTTTATAACTGCAGGTAAAGATTCACAGATAATCTCCTTTACTACAGACCAAAGGAAGCTGTGACAAAGAGGAATAAATAATTCAGTAATTCCAGAATGATCCAGGAAATTATTTTTCAACTAATGTGTTTATAGATTATCAGATATGATGAAAAATTGCATTTTATATTTCATAGGCCCACTTCTGAAATAAGAGGACAATATACCAAGCCTATCTTTCGGAATAAAACCATAAAACTGCTTTTCTGTATTCCATTGTGTATAATGTCTTCTACATCCCTTGTAA